AGAATGGACACTATTTAAGGAAAATCATATCAGTAATCATAAGCTGACTGATTGTCTTTGACAGACTGTATGAAAGTGTCACTTATTTAGATTGTTGAAATTAGCTGCCTTCACAGTCTATAAGGTGATCCGTTCAAGCTCGGCTGGGAGTGTAAGGTTTATGTCAAGTCCGTCTCGGGCTGTGTGATTGCTACATATTAAATGATGAAAACAGTTGCTCTTGAAGGTTTCGGTCTTCCGGGATCGCCTCTGGTGTGAGGGACCATTATAACCGTGTATGGGCACTAGTGGACTGGTGAACAGTTGCCCATGATTGATTACAGCTGCTGAAAAATTTTATTTTCTCTCCTGTGTGATGCGAGAAAGGTTGCTTGTATAGAAGTGCCGTGTGCGGAACTGCCATTCCACCAAACACACGAGAGCTATCTGCCTAAGGAGAGGGATAAGGGAAGGACGAAGCACCTTCAAGGAGAAATTGGCTCGTATTTTAAGTTATAACATGGTGTTAGGTTAAGTTAATTGAATATGACACAACACACGAGGATTATCCGTCTAATGGAAGGAATGCTCCGTGTAGGACCTTTTGAGGGAAACTGGCTCATATTCCCGTTACACATGCATAAAAACACGAAAATTAGCCTGAAAGCCAATAGTTCGATTGGATTTGAATACAGCGGAACAACCGGCATTCAGAGATCTTAACCACAGGCCACTGGTGGGGTATTACACATAAGGAAACCATGATAGCCCCCACGCAGCCAGCCATTTCGTTAGGCTTGAACCCAAATGAGCTACTAATGTTCTATTCATCTAAATGTTTATCTCCCCCGTTCACTGATAAACACTGTGGAAAGTACTAGTGTTCAGAGATCTTGTGCATTCGACTATTAGAAGGCGATATTACGATTAGAGGCACTCTGAAATATAAGTTCTAAATCTTCAATATCTTAAAAAATTTAAATGCTAAAATTTCAATAAACGCAGGCCTTAATGCGCGTTTCTCTTTTTAAAGTAAGGTACAGAAAATTGCTTCATTCAGTTCCTTTACACCTATTTTTCCAGTTTCTAAGTTCATGTCAGTCTTTAGCACTTAGTTCCTTCATTCTTATTAACTCAGTTTAAGGAGTTCTTTTCAATCGAAGACGCAGAAAGCCTGCAACTACTCAGGAGTTCGAAAAGACTGCTTACAGCGGACGCCAAGCAGCTAATTAAAAATTTTCTCAATAAATCTTGAGAGTTAATTTCGGTAAATAAAAGAGATAAATTTTAAAAGGGGAAAAAAATGTAAATGTAAAACAAATGTTGCCTTTGATGCAGAATAATCAGTAGGACTAAACAGATAAAAATTATTATTAAAGATATTGTCAAAATCTATTAAAATTCCTTTTCATAAGACCAAAGACTCTATAAGAAAAATATATTTAATCCGAATAAGGAAAACTTTCGTACAACGGAGTAAACTATTTCTTTATGGCTGAGTATGTGATAAATATGATATGCAAAAACTTCAGTGTATAAAATAACAGACTAAAAAAAGGATTATAAAGGAAATTTCAGTAAATTATAAATCGTTATAGTCAGATTTTCTGCCAACACTTTCTTCATTAATTCCGTATATTATTATTAAAAGGGTATTTCTCTGCGTGTTGATCAGATTTTTGTGTGACAAGTGTTTTCATTTTAAATCGAAGGAAAATATTAATTTATAAATGGCAATTTCGATTCAAAACATAGATTAAAAATAAATATAAATGATATTATAAATCTACACATGAACTTCAGAGAAAAGCATGGATTATACACGACAACTTGAAATCGTTTCTCCTATTCAATATCTGTTAAATAAAGAATTTAAAACTCTTATAGCAGTAACGTAACTAGAGGAGGGAAGTTCGTTCCGGGCGGCACATTTTTGGAGCACATTTTTCATATGAAATATATTATAGGAGTTAGTAATATGGTTCATCGGAGCAGAAACACTAGGTGAGATTTACTGGATCAGAGCAAAGCTTATTACAATTATATGTATAAGGCGGGATGTCTTCTCAAGGGCTAAAATTCTTTGCAAAGGACTTAAAAAGGGGGAGCTCACACATAGTCACGTTAAGGAAGGGGCACAGGATCCTATTCATTTCTAACTACAATGTTACATAACTCTACGTTACATATAACGTAAACCATATAAGTCAGCCAACCCGTTGTTTGGAATTTGACCCAAAGTCGAACGACCAGTATTCAGTCATCTTATCCACTCGGTCAGTGGTAAGGTGAAGAACCACGAGATGCATAATTGTGATATGCATTCCATATTCCATCAAAACACCTTTGAATAGAAAATTCGAATGGCAATTAAATTATAAAGACTCACCAGCGGCCGAACGGTAAAGTCCCTGATGACTGGTAGTTTGGTCCGAGGTTCAAATCCCCGAACGAGCTGACTTGCATGAGCATTTTCATCGTTTTCCCCGCTTTAATACGAGCCAGGGTCCCTTAAAAAGTCCTCCACGAATGCATCCATTCCTTCCATGTAGTGCCTTAGGGCGAAACACGAAAATTATAGTAGTAATAAAATTATAAATTCAATGACATAAATAAGGAAGGACTGTTCACTGAGAGAGAAATACTTAAGAATTTTAATTCCTGTTACCGCTTTGTAAGACGAAACGAGAAGTAGAAGGATAGTCCATTTGAACATGTTATTCTGATACAATATCCAAAACAAAATTTCAAACATTGTAGTTCTGCTTCAAATTTTCCTCTCACCTGCTGTTATGTATTATTTGTTGCGAGAGGAGTTTTGCTTGATATAAACTGATTAAAAAGTCCTTAAGACCTAAAAATAAGTATCTTGTTTTCAATAACAGTGTACTTGTCTAGAGAACAGCAACTAGATTAGAGAAGTAAATTTAGAGAATGTCATCGACGATTTTGCAAACGGTAAAACAAGCTCTTTAAATTATTGGAATTAAAGTTTTATATTCAAAAATTAACAAATAGCTTTTATTTACTTCCCTAGATGTCGTTATAATATTTTATAGATTTGAAATTATAGTCACTGTCTAACAGATTAATACATGAACCTTTTAATATAAAACCATCTAACAGCTCAAAATCGTAAAAACAACTTTGTATTTAGCGTAAGTATAATGAAACATTCAATCGATTTCGAGGGCAGCTAAAGGTCCCTCTTCTAACAGCTATTTAATATCTGAAAGTTTCTAGTATTAACTTACTATAACGCCTTTGTTAACGGACCTACATTTCTGATCAGAATGAAAATTAATAACGTTTTTATCTTAGATGATTATGTAATAAAACTCTAACATAACCGAAACTAGTCTGAATTGAAACGACGAAGAAAAATAATTTTGAATCAGATTCCTAAAAGTAGGTTATGATAAAAACAAATGATTTCAGTACAGTACATGCGGAAATGATGAACGGCGAAATTTCTGTTCAAAAGACGACTTTCATATTGCTTGTTCGTTTAATGGTTTACGACAAAAAACATAAGGATAATCAAACGACTTTCACGTCTGCTACTCATTAGATAGTGGAACGCTTTAGTTTTACTCGTAAAATGTGAGGGAAGGAAAAAAAGTATCTTTAAATAATATACGTTTGTTTAACTGACAATATGACAATAACTGCTAATATATATCATTGATAAAAGTTGCACACATTTTAACTGCCAAAAATTCTTAGAAGTGATACGAGACAAAGCGTTATCTAACATGGCTACATTCCCCTTAATTCTGATTAATGATAATCTACATTATAGTTAAATGTTAATGATTTAAGGGTAATCAGCAGTATGGTTAAATGCATATTTTGTTAGTGTAACCTAAAATGGTGTTAGTGCCATTTTTTTTACAACGATTCGTAATGGTAACGTATAAAATATTTTCTATTTCTAGAGTCGTTTATTGTTATTTTAATGTTAGATAGTAACATTAAATATAAATATTTAAAATTAACATAGATATGGCTTCTAAAGGTACCAGATTTCTTCGAAAGGGTAGTATGCAAAAAGTACCCCCGTCTAGGTCTAACCGTTTAATCTGTAGCAAACTTTAACTTCTGCCTCTCGAAGGCATATTGCATCCTTTTTTTTTATGCAAAGTTCGGTTTACAAAATTAGAAACCTAGGATTAAAAACCTGTTGAAGAAGCTCTCCTTCCATTTTTTGTCATTGTAACAGGGTTGGTCATTTACACATTGTTGGTGGAATGTGTAATTATATAAAGTGCTGCGCGAATTATATAAAGAACTGATAGGATGCTTATTGAATTACAAATCCTAATTAATTAAAATACGGATATAAGAACAAATTAATGCAATAAATTTATTTATCAATTTAATGAGATATATGAATAAAATGTAGAATTAAAAATTTTAGTTTCTTTCCATCAGTATATCACGAAATGATGCTTTATTAAAAGGCACGAAAAACTTAAATACGAAGTCTTAAACTTTGTTCCTGCCCCTAATTACATAATTCTAAAGCCAAGGACTGAAAAATTACTCCTCCCCTCCCCAACCAAGAAAAGCGTATATACTTTAAATACACTATAGAAGGACTTGAAGGGCCTCATGAAAGTGGAGGTCAGGGCCCGTTTGCCTCTGCGTAAAGGTTGTGTTTTGACATAATGGATTTGAATTAAAGATGATTTTTAACTAATCTTTCATCTAATTCGGCAGCTTTTAGAAAGCTTAAAAAAGATCTGTCAATGCTTTAAATAATTAATTGTATGTGTTAAAACACTTGTTTTGTTTTATCTCTCAGATTCTCTTTTTTATACTGAATAAAACAGAATTGTACAAATTACGACATTAAAATGATAAATAAATAACAAATAAAAGAACTCAATTTGATATTTAGTGCAGGAGCCAGAACTATGTGAACATTGTTTAATGACAGATTTTAATTGTAGTTTGCGCAGAAAGCGTCCATTATTTCTCCTTCGTGGAAACCGTTCCCTCCAAAACTACATATCTTTGATATGCCACCTACTTTGGCGGCTTGCGGGCATAAATGTGCTTAGTTTATCCGGCTGAAAGATTAAGGAGCCGCACATCCGGCCGCATGACTCTCTTGTAAAGACGTTAAGATCCGACGGCAGAAAGCGCGCGCGCCCCAATCGGCGAGTGGTCAGACAGGTGAAGTGGCGACGGAGCTACCCACTAGAGGGCCGGGCGCTGCTGAAGAGGCTGATTGGCGCATCCTGGGCGCATCCCTCAGACGATAGGCGGGATTCCGGTGGAGAAGCCGGATGAGAAGCTGAAGCCGAGGATGACGAAAGGACACACGGCCAGAGGCGGCTTTCTCTTGCTCTTGCCTCTGGTCCGAGCGAGCTGGTGGTGAGTACATATTTTGTTTCCCTTGAAGAGAAAAAACAACAAAAAAAATTAGTTTTGCTTGACAAGACCAGACTGTAAAATTTTCACTCCAGAAACAGACAAGCAAGGTATTCTTTCGAAAACAAAATAGTGTGGTAAGATTTTTGATCGAAAGAACATTTTCGAAGGATCAAAAATCATAAACATGTTTTAAGAATTTGGTGGCCTTTCCAGTAATAAATGTAATTTTATTTCATAAAAATTATTGTTAAAAGCATGTTTCTTAATAACATACAATTTTCTATGATATTATGATAGCAAACATCGTTTAGAAATGCTTTTTAACAATGATTACCAATATGTCACGTATATATTTTGATCCAGAGTGTGAGAAAAGCGATAAAATTCGATCGTTATGTAAGGTAATGACGTAATAGGCCCTCGAGCAAAGCGAATCGCAACGGCAGTTTGGCAGCGTAATAATTGACGCGAGACTTGAGTTTGAATTTCAGTTTGTAAGTGATCGAAACTGGGCTCGAGTGGTCATTTACATGGTTACTTGCAGTTCCCTGATCCCATGAGGACCCTCGTGTAGGGAGACGTGACCGAGTGGCCCTCTTAGAGTTACGATCAGGCCCTCTTGACCATAATTAACTCATTGAAAACTTTTTGTTGTTGTTACCCTACTCGACTCGTTTATGATACGTTCGAGCAGATAGAACCGCTGATAGAGCTCTGATACGAAGGAAAGTGTATTTTCGTTTTGCTACGGAACGTAAATAATTTTGCATCGCTCAAATGAAGACACTTGACCGAGAACGAACGTGTCACAGATGACTCAACGCGCTCGCCGCGGATTCTCCTACTCGTCATTGGTTGGCGCGGTTCTACGCTCGGATTCCCTTCAATATTGGATTCTGCTTGTCAACAGCTGAAACATCTGAAATCGTTCCTCTTATTATTTCCCTGATAAAACAAGTGATGAAACAAATATCTGAGAATTGTTGAGCCGTGGTTGTTGAGTTATTCATACGCTGCAATGTGGCTGTTTTTAAGATACCATTATTTCGCTTCAGAGATTACTCTGTTTCCTCCACAAATGCATACACGGGTGAGTATTAATAATCATGAAATATTTCGACAAGTACATTTTATCAACATCGGACTACCATATTTGTGATTCGAATAATGCTGAAAAACTTAGCCTGATAAGTTTGTCCTACGTTTAGCAATCTTTGTAGGTGGAGTAGGAATTTCATTTCACTTTGCTTTAATTCAATACTTTTTTATCAAAATTCATTGCAGTACACATGCGAAATAAATTTTTAATCTGAGCGAAAGTCCAAAATGATCTTACTCAAACTATTAAAAGAAATAGACAACTGAAGTTTCAACTTCAGGAATCCTAAATTTCAGCATTACAAAATTTAATTGACATTACCCGTGCGAATGTATTTAAAATTGGAATTAAAAAAAATATACTTATTATATAATTATTAGTTTTATATATTTCTAAAATGGATTTCACATATATTTTACTTAGCAGTAAACCTGATGTCAGTGGTAAAACCAACGTTGGCATGGAGTTTTCGTTCTAAAGTCACAAAATTTCTTCAAAAATACATTTAACTTTTAATTCTGTTCTTTGGTGCATTAATGTAAAATTTTAAACTGCAACATTGTTTAAAATCATAATGAGTAATGCCTTTCTGCCTTCTGGTGATAACTGATTTGTTGTAGATTTAAAATGTTAATTTAAGTATTCATATTATTTTTACATTGAATTATTTAGATACAGTAGCCACTCAAATTATTTTTATTGCATGACAGTGTAAGATATGTGGTTCTTTAAATGTAAATAAACGATTAAGGCATATGCTTACTGAGACTGATTATGAGTATTTCAGTTACATAAATCAAGTAAATTAGATCTACAAATTCATCGATTGCTATAATCAAAGCGTAGAACAACTGAAAATCAGCAGAAAATTACTAACACCCGCATTTTATGTATCTTTTTTAACTGTTTGTTAGTTTATATTTTGCCCTCCTGACGTGCCTGTTATCAACATCAATAGTTTTTTTTTTTTTTTTTAAAGCAAGAGCGTTTTCATTTCGTCTATCTGTGTTTGCTGCTCGTTTTTGCTTCATATGTTTCATTTCTTATGACTAAAAACCGCTGCTAGAAACACTATTCATGATCAATTCAGTTGTCATTGATTTCGCTAACCATTTTGGGTCAGAATTCGTGATTTAGAATAACATATATTTATAACGAAATTGCCTCTTTTATTCTACATCATTTTTATGTGTTTTGTCCATTAAAACAACGCAGGCCTTAGAATTTTATTAACTCATTCAGTTTTGCTACGGAAGATTTAAATTAATGTTTAGTAAGACTTAATATGATAGCTGCCAAGTTAAGCTAATGTAGCATTGCATTCAGCTGAATTCTGCAGCCATTTTTATACATTTGTCTCAAATTTGTAATTTAAATTTTGAATTCTACTCGATCATTGTATCAACTGAGGAACAAACCTCACTTTTTACATTTAAATATTTTAATGGACAACTTATTTATTAATGTTATCTAAAACTAACTTAATAGCATTTAAATTTCACAATTCTATGCCATCATCATTTCTTCATTAAAATATGAGAATTCTCTGGAAGTTAAAATAATAGAGTTACTAGTACATATATTTTAATTCTTTCCATTCTGATTTTCCTGGTTTCGAACCTCTTAGCTGTTACAGTCTTTCAATCAGATACTAAGTTCAATCTCCAGCTAGTGCTTATATCTTTATCAGTGTAAAGAATGCAGTGCATACTGTTCAGCTTTGGTTTTCTTCAAATATAATTTAGTAGATGATAACGCAAAATTGCTCTAATTCTCTGGAGGCTGAGTAGCTAAAGACATAAAACCACCTCAGGGTCTGTTCTCGGTTAGAATGGATTTGCTACATGAAGGTTTCATGAATATTTAAACCTGGAAGAGTTTCTTTTAGGAAATCTTCAACGAAGGCATCACGTCCCGTAGCAGCATTGTGCTTTGTTATAATCAAATCGTCCAATCTATTCAGAGTTTTCTGAGAAGTGAAGCATAGTCCAAAATGACTAACACTGTTTAAAATGACTTCATTTCTAAACTTTATGAATACATAAGATCGAGAAATACACAAAATGAAAGTAAAAGTGCCTGAACTTTACATTCAGTTATTTGACGAATAGCGAAAAGACGTTAATCATTCTGGAATGTGTAAAAGGATTGACCGTATTGAATGTGTAAAAGGATAAGCATAATTCGTTGCTTATTAACCGTGTATTAATTTGATGTATGTCAGATGATAAGGGAAATTTCACTTTTAGAAAATTAACAAAATCTTGAATACACTTTCGTAACGAAGTGCTCCTGCTGCGTTGAATCAATTGCGTGAAACCCAATAACTTGAATTTTTGCGCTTCTAGGTCTAGATTCATCATGTCATTCGCTCGTTAAAGTGTGTGTGTGATTATGGCAAAGCCTCGAGGGCTATCTGCCTAAGGGGAGGGATGCCTTCGTGGAGGACTTTGTAAAGGGAAACTGGCTCGTATACACGTTACACATGGGGAAAACCACGAAAACGCCCATGCAGCCAGCCCGTCCCGCGGGATTCGAACCTCGGACCGAACTACCAGTGTTCAGCGACTTTACCGCTCGGCCGCTGGTTGGCCCCATTCGCTCGTTAAAGAGCATGTTTCATGTGCTTTTTGCTCTCTGCTGCAACTGTTGATGAACGAAACTCCCATTACATTTTCTAAGGGCACAAGTATATAGGATGGGCTGGAGTACGGCAGAATCACAACTGTCGTTTTTTTGCTGTTCGCGCAATTAAAAGAATATCATACGAAAGGCTTGTAGTGTTTATTTTGGAGCAGAAGACGTAAAAATTGTGTAGTGTCCTAGCCAGGATTTGATCTCCTGACCTTCCGACTGCTAGCCGGACGTGCTTTCTAGTTATACCACGAAGACATATGGTAAGAAGGGAGAAAAACCTTATATTTTTTAAAGTTAAAATAGCTTTTTTATTAAATCTTTAAATTATACATACGACATCACTTTGCGTACAAATAACCTCCCCTTGAGGCATTTAAACCAACACAAGTTAAAATTCAAGTAATGTAGTCGGAGGCTACACAAAGTAGTCTACTTTAGTTGGCTCAAATATTTTAATGGCGGATTTTAACATCGGCTAGCGAAATGGCTAAAACCAAAATAATCACTGGCAGAGCTGGCGATAAGATGTAAACTGCAGGCGAGGCTGCCAAAAGCTCTAACACTAAATCATACAAAGCCCTCTACGTAAATACTCAAGCAACTAATTTGCAATCTAGAGAGGACTACGGAAAGAAGAAATTTTACTAAAGGTTTGAATCATAATAACTGATTAACATAAAATACCTTATACCCTTGTTCGTAAAAATTGGATAGGTTTCGGAAATAAAATCATCTGACAGTCATTTCGAAGAACCCTGTGCATTAGAACTTTTCTGTTATTAACAATGTATGCGAAAAAATTCAGATTATTTTTAGAAATAAGGATATTTAGATGCAATTTATCAATAAAACAGATATGAATTTTATCAGCTAAAGCAGGTTTAGCTTATTTTTTAAAAGAGAGGTGTTGTTAAAAATGGGCAGAATTAATCCATTAAAAGTCACCCTCATTTAAAAATTTTCAAAGGAATTCTTCAAAAGCTATTAGGTTGAGTGCAGGAATGCTTTATTTAATAGGTATTACTCATGATCGCATTACCTCAGTTTCACAATTAGTGGGGGTATCTGAGTTACCCATTTAATAATGACATCGTTAAAGACTTACAGCCATTTGATATATGTAGCGTGCAGATTTAAAACATTAGATAAAAGCTGTAAACACGCTGTCACTCGTTTTTCAGCCTTTCTTAAACAAACAGAAATAAAGAACATCGAGGTTAAATTTTAGCCCAAAACAGAGAACTTTTAATATTAAATTTAAAAT